TATATATATATATATATCCAGCCTCGTATGTCGCCGTATATCGCCGCAAATACTTATAATCCCATTGATGGTTTTGTTGTTCTAAACTAATCTCCTAAAAAGAAATCTTTCGGTTTTCTAGTAGTATGAGAAAGTGTATATAATGCTCATGAATAAGAAACGACAAACGGCGCTCTATTTTTACACATCCATGAAGCATAAATATGAAAGAGCGCGGTGTGGGAGTATAATAGGGAAATAATAGAAATTGCAAAATAATGGGAAACTACTCTGAGCAGCAGATTTTGCCACCTCTTGAAATTCTACAGAAAAAATATAAATAAATAAAATAAACATAAGCAGCATTTTGAAGAAAATATTTGAATATTTATGGTATTACCGTAGGTGGGATTACTGAAAATAAGAGTTGATAAAAGCATTTTTTTTTCAGTTGTTGGAGTAAATGTGAAAAATTTAAACCTATTTTAAAATTGGAGAGAAATTTTTTTAAGGTTGGCGAAAAATGCTTAAGAAAGGGATTACTTTTTGAAAATGTGGTATTATATTTTTTCCTTCCATTAAAAAAAAATCAGCTTCGCTTAATATTCTTTAAAAAGGCATAAAGGGGGCATTCAAAGTAATAGTCAGGAGCTTTGTTTACTTATTGAGTAAATAGTTATGTTCATGTGCACAAGGGTAGCGTGGAGAGTTTGTTTAAAAATTATTTAAAGCTGTCGCCTCCTTAAGGAATTATGAAAGTTTTACTAGCTACTTCTAAAAAAGCTGCAAGTGTAAAAATTTCCAGTCAAATTATAATTTCTCTGTACAGTAAATAAATACGTAGGGCAGATTTATCTTTTCCCAACACATCCACGGTGATGCAAATGAATAAGTAGAAGTGCTTCGGCAACAGCCCATTGTGGGCCAGATGGCCCATTAACATAAGGCTCTTCGATTCCGTGATCAACGTGATTACAGCAATTTGATCATCAATTTATCTCCCAGTCAGGCTGATACTCATGAATTTACCTCCCAGTCAGGCTGATACTCATGAATTTACCTCCCAGTCAGGCTGGTACTCATGAATTTACCTCCCAGTCAGGCTGGTACTCATCAATTTACTTCCCAGTCAGGCTGGTACTCATCAATTTACTTCCCAGTCAGGCTGGTATTCATCAATTTACCTCCCAGTCAGGCTGGTACCCATCAGTTTACTTCCCAAACTGGCTGGTACCCATAAATTTGAAGCTAGTTGAGTTTCCTTCCACCTGTGATTATTGAACTTTAAACCTTTCACAATGACAGCTCAGTGCCTTTAACCACTGAGCCAATGCGACTCTATCTAATCAAGTAATAGCTCAAATATTAAAGCAAAACAAACAAAAAAACTTTTAAAATAAAATTAATTTCTTTAAGTGAGATAATTGCTTCATTCACGCATTAGAACTTGAGCAGCAACGGGTCTGAAAGCTCTAATTCAATTCGAATAAAATTTATTTGGGACGAATAAACATCCTGAAAAAATGAACCATCGTTCATCAATCACCAATACTCATTTCAGCTGAGATAAACATCTGAAAATTAAGCATTTATCGAAAACTGGTGTAAAGGCTCCCCAGATGTTTGAAGGCTGTTCGGTGAAGGGGAGGCCAAAATCATATTAATCTATGCATGAAGTCTTTCCGTAACACTGGGAGCCCGGATATTTTCCGTCATATAGAATATCTGAATTTTGAACTTTTTACGCAGAACCCCGCAATGACCCTTTTACATGTGTCCCTTTATTATACTAACTCTGATCTTAGGATTTTTTGAAGGATCGTCAAGACAAATAGACATGCGCATGTTTATTTTTTTCTCTAAAATCACAAACATATTTATTGTTGCGATTCTAAGCATAATGAAACAGTTATTAAGGCCTGGTATCTTAAGACAAGCGCCTTCTCTGGGCGTCAGCGGGAAGTTGACGTACCGTTGACGCCAACAAAATACTGTTTTGTTAGCTCAGCGTGAGCAGTCTGTCCAACGCAGACATTATCTCGCATTGCGCATGCGTTAATAACGTAGAGAAATATCTATTTTGAATTTGTATTGATTTTCTTGTCGTCGGTCAGTGCTTTAGAGAACAAATAATGACTTTGTCCCCGAAAAAACACATTATAGCTGATCTAAGAAGAAGAGGAAGAAGAAGCTATGTTTAATATTAAGGGGTCACAGTACCTTTGCAATGATTTTTTAAAATAAAGGTGTAATCATTCATTTTGAGGATGCTTTACATGCTCATTTAAGTTATAATCAATAATTTATCTTCAAAAAGTAATTAAACTGTTTAATTTTTTTAAAATTTTAAAAAAATTTGAAAAAATTCTACATTTTTAAATCCCTAAGGCTTTTTTATTTTAACATATTTTCAAAAAATGTTTTTTTCATAGTGCTTACAATATTTATCTTAATAATTTTGTGCATTCATTTGTTGATATTTCAATTAGAATATTTTTTATAGATTATTTTGTAAAAAAGTAGAAAAAAAAGTGTAAAAATTCCTGTTAGGTATATATAACATGCCGTAAAAATTGTAATACCTCATAAAATGCTTATTCCATGCACAGTTTAAATAAGTGTATTATACTCAATATAAAAAAGTTTACTTCAAAGCTTTATCTCAAATAGAAAAAATTCCTTAG